AGCCGCCGCGCCGCCCTCGCCGCCTGCCACGCTGTTGGACGAGGTGGAGCCGCTGGACCTGGAGAGCGTGGCCGCCTGGAGGGATGAGGAGGACGACTACACCTGGTACTGCCGAGCACCCCCGACCCCGGCCTCGGAGGCTCCGGGAACCTGCGCGCGTGGGCGTGGGAAGGAAAGGAGGGTGGGGCTCGCGGCCGCCTGTAACGCCCAGTGGCGCTGGCATGGAGTGACCTAGCAGGTGCCGAGCCGGGCGACGAGCTGAGGCTCTTCACCAAGGGAGGGACCTGTTCTCCCATAGCTCCGGCTGACGCGACTGGGGATGAAGTGGTTCCCCCATCTGCCCTGCGTTCTGCCCCATGATGATGATCAGGCCCCAAGCTCGTTAGCATTCACTGCAGAATCCACGTTGTCTTGTCTTGTTGCTCAGTCCCGCTCTTTTTCGCAGTCTTTTTGAGGGGATGACGGGGGATGGGTAGGGGTTGGGCTCCATCTGCGACTGTTACTGTTCTTTCCTTCCGAACGAACGTTGGACAGGGTTTGCGTGCCGTCCTCCTCCCATGGCACCTGAAGCCGCCTGGTGACGGAGCTGTCCTTAGAGATTGTTCTTGCAGTCGGAGTTGTGCAGTTGTATGCTGCCTTTCTTCGCATTTTCATTGATATCTTTTTTTTTCAGACTGACTTGCTTTTTTAAATGTGCTGGCTTCAGTGGCCTTCCCATCAGTAACAGTGTCAGAAATGAAAGCTTTTCAGGGAGTGGAGCGAGCAGGTTGAAGACACTTTTCTTTGGTTCCTAGGTTAAAAAAATTTTTTTTTAACTTTTAAAAATAAACTGTAGATTGAAGAAAAGTAAGATTAGAGAAACTTTACTTTCTTGGAAACTTTTAAAGTTATCAGAAAACTTGAGTCCTGCAGTATTTATTCAGTTGATAACTGGTTAGCTCTGTGTACTTTCCATGAGTAAATGAGTTTGGAGGGTCGGATCTCATTTCTCTATTTTTCCTGCTCCTTGATCATGGAGTAATAGTCATTTAATGGTTGGCTTCTTTTGTTTGGCAGGTTTTCATTGGTCACTGGACGTAGTATGATATGGTCAGATAAGTATAAGCTTCAGGTAGGGTGGGACTTGGGTTCATGCAAGGAAAATAGACAGTATTTACCTCTGCATAGCAGTGACATAAGAATAGGTGCAGTCGTTTTATTAAGGATCCTAACAGTTTTTCCAAGCTCGTTTTCCCTCACTTTGTGTTCCTGTTGCATGATTACACAGAAGGGAATGGGAGGTGGAGAACCTTACTTGTTTCCTACTGGGAACTACAATGTTTCTTTTCCCTTACATTCTTTTATGTGAGAACTCTAACAGCTAAGTACATTAACTAATTGGTTGGATTCAAGAATCAAAATCAAAATATATGGAGCTATAATAAGCCTTTCAGGGACATTTCCATCTTCCTCCTTAGTACTTTTTGGCAGCTGTGCAGGTAGCTCAAGTTGTAAAATCAAGTCACCACTTTCTGGAACTTTACGCCATTCTTTAGAAGTGACACCTTTATTTTTGTAAAGCCCAAGATTTATTGTAATCTCCTTTTCAGCCTGAATATGGTACTGGAGAATGCTCTCATGATGGTTCTTAGGTTTTTACTAGTAACTATAAGCCTTTATGCCACTTTCAAATTATTTTAGGTTGATTTAGTCCCTGTTTGGCTGTTTCTGATGACATGTCCTAAACAATGGAAGGAAATTCAGTTGTAGTTTTGCCGGGGAGATATAGGGGATCAATCACACGCTTAAAAAAATTAACATGTTTTTAAAGCTTATTGTGATGAAGCACCTTGAATAGCTCATATAGTTTTAATATTTTCTTTTGAATGGACTTATACCATACTTAGTTATATCCAACTATTGATATCTTGGCTTTCCTTTTGTAGTTTATTTTTTTTCTAAATAGCATTGAAATAACTGTTAATCACCTTAGTGGGATTAGCATTAGTCCTTCAGATGGTTTGAAGCAAATTTAAACTGAAACAGGTCCTATTAATTTCATTCGTCAAGGATGTAGGTGAATAAGTCAAATCAGTGCCTTGATGCTTTACAAATGTTTCTGTGGACAAATGGCACACTATTTATAGATCTTCCTCAAAAAGAAGGTAGGATTAGAATCCCAGGTGGAAAAACAAGGAGGGATCATTAATCTTAGTGAGATGGACTTAAAAATTTTAAGGTTACCTGATTTATAGATTTTTTATAACATTTTACACATTAAGATATTTTTGTATTGCAACATGTTGACATTGAAAAAAATCAACATAGTTTAGTTTTTAAAATTTAATCCACTTGTGAATGCTTGCGAAGCACTGTGAAGTTTATCACTGCAAACTATATACATGTCCTTGTCCTGTGGTCTCACAAATAAGAGTCCTTTTTCATTTGGATTTCCTGATATAGTTGCAGATGACAATTTATTTTTATTTCCTATGTTTACTAAGAAACAGCTGAAGTAGGTATATAGTATCTGATTATTTTTAAAAAATTAACTAAAAGTTTTATATTTTCATTGCAAAGAAACAAAACATGGAAGTGGGTATAAAGTCACAAATTCTCTCTTGTTCCCAATCTGTTACCATGACTCAGAATTAACCCTGTTAGCACTCTGTAGATCCTGCAAGATAAAAACACAATTATGCAAATCAATATACAAATTTATACATCAATTTTTTTTATAGTTAACTTTCATTGAACGTATCTTGGACATCTTTGTCAGTGTAGCTTCATTTCTCCCTGTACAATTGTATCTTTGTTCAAATAACAATATTAAGGACCAAGTTACTGTTAATTGTGTCACCTACAATTTTTCATGCATTTTTATTTCATCCTAATGGGCTAAATAAAATTGACATTTGAAAGTTTATTAATTATCAGATCAGGTGACCTTCTTGCTAAAATGCCATATCTTCAGGAAAGTTTGCTAATGTAGATTAATCATTGAGTAGTTTAGAAGTTTTCATATAGGCATATCTTTTCTAATAAAACCTAAGAATATAACTATTCTGTTATTAATAAGTTGAACAAAATTTGGCTCAGAATTGTGTACAAGGAAAATTGTGAATAATATAACCAATATTTTCTTGATGATAGTTTATTGTTAGTGAATGATCAGGTCTCTTAGGTCTTTTTCCTGAACAATTATTTAACCTTATAGGTAGTATTTTTTTTTTTTTAAAAGATACTTTAAGAATGATGTGTTCTACTTTTCATTTTGATAAAAAGCTTTGAAACAAAGCAATCATTTCTTCACATGTTTATCTAAATTAAGTTTAAAGTATTTAATTTTGCTGTATTACAACCTGATTATCTTAGCACAGTGCTGCCAGAATTAAATGTCTCAAAATTAAAATTGATGGCAGTTCCAGAACCTTAATTCTTAAGTCCAATTATTATGGCCCTATACTGAAACTTCACATCTCACTGTACTATGCTGACTCCTCAGTTGTATTACTACTAATTTGACAGCCTTAGCTTTCCAGATGACCATAGGCTAGAAAGTAAAAGGGTAAAGTATGAGTATCAGAAGCAAATAAAAAGCTCAAAAGTACTAAAATCTTGATGCATACTTGGGACGTGGTGTGACTGGATGATATTCCAGTCTTTATAGGAGTGTTTTTAAGATCCATGTCTCTCCCAGTGTCATCAGGCTGAGAAGCACCTGGGTAGTCAGAGGAAGTCAGATCAGTATCAAGTGGCAGTGGGAGCCATTAACTGCATACTAGAACTTTCTATGACCTGTTTCAGCTCCCTTATCTCAGTGTTGAACAGAGCTCTGAGGTGAAATGACATATACTGGAAGAGTTCAGACTGAAACTCAGAATATTTACACAGATTCAGAAGTGTGTACACCATTAATAGTTTACCCCCAAGCTAGATCGTGATCCATCAGTGGGTTATAAAGTCAATTTAGTGGGTTGACCAACATCTTTTTTTTAAAGTACAGTGAATAGAAAATCAGAGTTCATTGCATCTTATAACACAATACTTGTTTTGATAAAACTTGTTTCAGTTTTACATACGTATGTTCTAGAAATATTAAATGTATTTGTGCATTGTCAAAGTTAGAGAAACTCCAGTTTGTACTGTGGGAAAGCAGAATGGACTTAGAAAACAGGTGGAAAAGCATAGCTATCTGAAGATAGTGTAGTATGCTGGGATAAGTCAGGTCTTGCATACCTCAGTCAAGAAGATAGGCATTTTTTTAATGAAATGCCAAGATAAAAATACGTTATTGAATGTAAAATACAGCCATAAGGGGGCTTTATTTTAGTAGAGTGACAATTAGCAGAATACTGAGACTTATGTAAAGGAGATGTGGCAGGAATTTTAAATTCACTGAACTGGAAAGAACAGGAGAAAAAGTTGTTAATTATACAAGGGAAAATGGTGATGTGAACAAATTAAGGAAAATTTAATGAATGAGATATTTGTCTTCCATGTGTAATACCAAGACCCTAGACAGCTGGCTAAAATCATTGCCAATTCTTCATCAAAGCTGTTGAACACCTTGTGCTATACATATGGCACAGCTAAATTAGACCACCTAAACTGTTTTTTGCATAATTGATTTTCAGTGAAAAGACCAGAGGGTGCTTCACTTTCTGACAGTGCTAATTGAAAATGCAGTGTTTTGTAGGAGCAAATGGAGTAGACTGAAGTGTATGATGTGTGTTTTAAACGAGTAACTTTGAAACACTGTAGTGAAACACTGAAATTGAAATTTAGAAACTGAGGGTGGGGTGGAGAGAAAGTTTGCTATAGGACAGTTCATTAACTAGAATTTGGACTTCAATGCTTTACTAGCTTAGTGGTGCTAAATTTTGCAGTGGCTGCCCACTTTGATCCCAGGATGTGCTAGTGAATCAAACACTGATTAAGCGAACTGAAGATTGATTGGGCTTATCAGTGTAGATGGTTTAGCTTTCCTTTAAATGCTTTCTTTCTGGCTATTGAAGGTTCTTAAAATTACTTGTCTGAAAATTACCTCATTGCTTTTCAGTGATAGGTCTACAAATATGTATACTTCTTGTTTTGACATTTGTTTTTGTATAATCTGCAAAAGG